CAAGATTTTTTAAATTTGCCGCCTTTTGTTTGTGCCAGCTTTCGTTGTTGAATTTTGTCACAGAATATCAGTACCGTGGACAGTTGCGACAGTCTATATCTGTAGGGAATAAGCTAGGCAGGCAGATAATATTGAGATAGTATTATTGTCATTATATAATAAATATACACAACAAAACCAAAACATATTAATCGCGTATCTGCAAAAGGTTATCTCCATTTTTATACTCTTGAAGTATTTTTGCAACACCGAAGCCCACAAGATGGCATTATTTATGAGTCGATACAACCTCAGCTCGAATTAAAAATTTTCCCATACTAATTAAAAGTAAAATATAAATAAAATAAAAGTTCATTTTGCTTGAGTTGAGTGGGAGTCCCTATATTGCCCAACACAGCAATGTACGTCACAGTAATGCTCGACCCGAGAATGTCCATCCCAGGAATCCGCGACACAAGAATCCGATGCATACGGCCTCTGATTGGCTGCGTGATCTGTACTCCTATTGGTGGAATCTGTCTGACAGTTCACGAAAAGAAATGGGTCGTGTTCACAATGAAGCTCAAATTAAACGTCAAACGTCAAAAATTATAACCTTTGCGATAATAAATGTTATCAAATTTTTCGATATTTTCAAACTTTTTAGTAAAAGAAATGTCCGACAACTTCAAGTGGAAATTGACTGTTTTGGTGCGTTGACTGTGGAAGGTAAATCCGTCATAAGAAGAGGCCAAGAATCGAAGAAACTTCCTGAATCAATGATTTTCTACACCAAACAATACTACAAGACCCTTTCGATTAGACTAGCTTTTGAGCAAACGAGAATATAATAATTTCATTTTCTCAGAACTTCAGAAGTGGAGAATGTAAGTTACTAAGTATACAAATAGTTTGTTATTCGTCATTGTCATCATTAGACATCGGATTATATGCACTATCAAAATGCCAAAATATGCATGCAAATATGCACTAAAAAAGGGCGAAATATGCACAAAATATGCACAATCAAAAAACCATTATTAGAATTAACTTTATTTCTACAATACATTTTATCCAAGATTCCATTAAAGTCTGGGTATTTTTTTTCACTGGCGGCATTATTTCAACACAAAATCGTAAATAAATACAGCGCGGTCGGCGAAACGAAAACAATTGGATTGCGTGAGGCGCGTGAGTGAAGTAAACAACGAGTGCTGTCCGCCCCTTCCCCCTACGCGCGTCACCGCATCCCGCTTTCGCCTAGCGCTAGCGAGTCGAGTACCTACGCTCGCGGATCGCTCTCAATGCGCTCTCGCAGTGCGTGCGAGGGCGATGTGTTGATGTGTGGTGTGGGGACGGCGGCGTAGTACAACACGTCTAACACGTATAAATACTAAAATAAGCACTGTCAATGAAAAAGTACCAAAATATGCAATAACGCTATAAAAATAGCATTATATGCGTTTGCATATGCAAACATGCAAATGCATATAATCCGATGTCTAGTCATCATCAGTCTATTACTGTGTAGTGTCCCACTGTTGATGCAATTGCCTCCCTCAGACATGGAAGCTTGGTCTTTAATACTTCGCGTAGACCCATTGCGGGTTGATAGATTTTACATGCCTTTAATATCCTCGTGATGTTTTCTGATACCATCAGAGTAATTCATTGTAAACTCCAATGTCTGTTGTAAAGGTTACCAGAAAATTCATTTTTATGTGCCTAGATCGAAGTAGAGATTTCTCTAATTAGAGTTGTAATACATTCATTATATACAACATAACTTTAGAATGAGAACTTAACTTGATATTGCAACTAAAGAATGAGTACTAATGTTTTTTGAAATGTTTCAGGTATTTCTTCTGTCGCTGCGTCTAGATGACCACCAGAATTAACTGCATCATCTCAGCTTAATGTGGCTGTGCTAACCATCACCGCCTTTACATTGGTTTTTGTTAAGAGTGCACTAACTAGATGCTGCAGGCATACAATAATTGCCAAAGTCCGGAGAGTCAGGCCACAACACCTATATTCTACTAAGGTTGATATCTATCTTATTTTTGTGTTTACTAGGCAATCATGATCGCAGAATTGTTTAGTAGTCAAGTGAGAATAGTGTAGTGAGAGTACCCACAAAATTTTTCAATCTCTTTAGAAATTGCGTCATATATTTAAACTATGATAATTTGGAACAAAATTATTTATGTCCCATTACTGGTACTATGCAATATTATATTTATATTGTGCCTGGTTATACAAAGGTAATGATGAATAATAAACAGCCAATTATATAAGAGACCTTTTATTTACATTTCACACGAGACCTTAGGTAGTAAAGCAATACCTCTGTTGAATTTGTTTCATTTAAAATATTTCTTCACAAATCCAAGAAAATAATGAATTAATGGCTAACTTGGCCAGGGATTACACTACATTATACTATGATAGGCATTAATAATAAATGAAGGCTTCATCCTGGAGATGTACTTAAGTGTGTAGTATAGCAGATATCAAATTATGTATAAGGTTTATTATTTTGCAGTTATAATTTAGAGTTTAAATAGTATGTAGGAATTCAAAGTGTACCCTCTAGACTTCCAAGTTTATTCTCTGTATGCCAAATCTATACCTGTTTTGTTTTTATTCCCTGTAAACCAAGCGCTGCAATAGACGTAGCTGAAATGATTTTAATTACATTACAGACATAATTGTTATGTAATTACTAGAGATATGCAATATTAATCAGTGTGTTAATAATTAATATTATGGTAATATCAAAATTTCATCACAACTTAATCATACCTACAAGTAAAACAAGTGAGTGCATTGACTTTTTATTAGTAAGTCAATGAGTGTGTGGCTCTATTAAACTTTAAAAAAATTAAACATTTGAAAAAATATATAAACATTTGAAAAAATATGACAGTAGATAGTGATTATTAGCTTTGATCTCACAATGATTGTGATTCGTCTGTTTTTACACTTGGTTTATTAAAAAGTATGGTATAGGATATAGTATGTTCTAGGTAATAAGGTAATGATCACACAACATAACAAGTTATTTATCTGTACTGTGCTGTAAGCAACATCATTATTGTAGATCAATAGTTTCTTAAATTAAACATAAAGGGAACAATTTAGTATGTATTTAGGTATAGCAGGCTGTGTTGACGAGAACATGTCTGGCAAAGGTGTGTGCAATAAAATATCAGTGATATACGACGTGGCCCGGTACTATATGGGAAATACCAGCTGCAGCGCCTGTTGGTGGTTGTTGCTCAGCTGTAAAAGATGAATGATATTATAAATCATTTTATATCAGGTGTCTACAAAAGTTTGAACTTGTTGCGCTTGGGAATTTTGCATGTGAATGAGTTATGTGTTTATGCTGTGGCAGAGAATATGGTAGTTATTGCAGCTTAACACCTTGTGAAAGAGTTCGTCCAGGCCTTGCCACCTTCCCTATTTCTGCCGCCAAGCAGTAATGTCAGGACTATTTGTGTTCCGGTTTTGAAGGGTAAGGGTCGTTTCGATCCTTTTACTTTAGAAGAAACAGAATTTCGAAAAAAATATAGATTTAGCCAAACATATGTAAGAAAAATAGTTGAGTTAGTTAAGAGTGACATCGAGCTACAAACTCGTGGTGGCGGGCTGGCTGTAGAACTTCAAGTTTGTACTGCTCTCAGGACTTGGGCTAGGCAAGAAGTTCAAGATGATGCAGCAGACATTCATGGACTTAGCCAACAGTCCATTACTAATGTATGCCGCAGAGTGGCTCTGGCTTTGGCAAAAAACGCGGCACAGTTCATACGCATGCCTGTGTCACTAGAAGAGCAAGAACAACTAGTTTCCGGATTTAGAAACATTTGCGGCTTTAGGAACGTGATTGGTGCTATAGATTGCACGCACATAAAAATTAAAAAAGTTGGTGGTGATAGCGCACAATACTATATCAACAGAAAGGGGTTTTCATCCTTAAATGTCCAGGTAGTTTGTGATTCTCAATTGAAGATAAGAGACATAGTCGCACACTGGAGGGGCAGTACACATGATGCAAGGATTTTCAGGGAAAGTCGAATTCGGCAACAATTTGAAAATGGGGAATTTAGTGCCCGTTTACTAGGAGATTCAGGCTATGGTTTAACAAATTATTTGTTTACACCAATCCAGAATCCCCGTGGTGTGAAGGAAGAGTCTTACAACAGAGCACACATATTGACAAGAAACCCAATTGAAAGGTGTTTTGGAGTATGGAAACAGAGGTTTCGTTGTCTATTGCATGGATTTAGTGTAACACTAAAAAATGTAAAATTGTACATTGTAGCACTTGCTATACTCCACAATATTGCCATCGATATGAAAGAAGACATTGATTTTCTTGAACCTCACTTGTCTGAAAATGATGATAATCAACAAATGCTAAGGAGAGATAATGATAGCCGATCTGGCCAAGAAACAAGAACATTGTTCATTGAAACACACTTTTAGCTGTAGCATTGTATTATTTTAATTTAGATTTTAACAACAAAATATATCTATAATATATATATAACAATCACTCTATATGGCACTCCATTACAAAGAGTTTTACATTTTAAATATCTAGGGCATTACTTGACCGATGACCTTAAAGATCACCTGGATATTGAGAGGGAACGCAGGGCATTGGCGGTAAGGAGTAACATGTTGGCCCGCAGGTTTGCTCGTTGCTCTGATCAAGTTAAGATCACATTATTTCAAGCGTACTGTCAGAGTTTTTATACGAGCGGCCTGTGGTTTGACTGTACTCAGAAATCGCTTAATGCCCTGCGAGTCCAATATAATAATGGATTCCGGATGCTGCTGGTGTTGCCCTGCTTCTGTAGCGCATCACAAATGTTCGCAGAGGCACACACAGATGGCTTTCATGCCATCATGCGCAAAAGAGCTGCCTCATTGATGAGCAGGGTGCGGGCCAGCACCAGCAGCATTCTGCAAATGATCGCCAGTAAACCGGACTCTCTTTTGCACAGTCATGTAAACCACCTGATGATAGTGTGTCAATAGGTGTTTACATGGTTGTGTAATATAAAATGTTTTGTTTTTAGTTTTATTATATTTTTATTTTTATTACTTACTCACTAACAATAGATTAAGATATTTGTAATACTAACCAATGGATCATAGATATCCGAAATAAAAATTTTTCAATTTCAATTTTCAATTTCAAAATTTCCAATTTTAATTTTTCAACTTGAAGGTCATGCTCTTCTTTAATAAAACTCTGAGCTTCTAACATATTTTTCATTTTTAGCTCATGTTCCTCCCTTATGCAATTGACAAGAACCATATGGCGCTCTCTTGTGAAGTCCCGTTCCTGAAATAAATAGTTTGTTATTAAATACAAATCACCATGCCATTAATTCTTTTACCTAAATTAAATGTTGCAATTTTATTTTACCTCACGTTTTGCAGTCTGTTCATTATGCTTCATTTCATTAAATGGTAGTTTCCGTTTTGTCCCACAAGGTTTAAATAAATTAATCTTCTTCACAGGTTGTGGTGTGATATTCTGATACAAAAAACCAGACATATAAATAAATTAATAAGCAATTTTTAAATATTGTATGAATGTATAGAGGTCTGCATAATACAGACATTTATTAATAAATTTAAATTATCAAACCTCTTCCACATTCTCTTTCTTATCTAATGGAGTGAGAACATACTCTTGTGTTGACATGACACATTCCACCTCCTGATTCTAAAATAAAATAGAAAAATGTGTATTAAAGTTATACTTATATCATAGACTCATAAAGATATAATTTTGTAACTGTCTCACAATTATACTGTCTACATTAAATAAAATTCATGCAATGCACAATAATAAAAAAATTATAAGATCCTCACCGCTATGCTGTCACTGTCGAAGATATTTGAATCTGTTTCAAATTCCTGTGGAATCATACTTAAGATGTCTATTGTTTCCGGATCTGGGCTAGGAGGCTTTGGTCCTCCACCAGTACATTTGATAGATGTCTTTACCTGGGACATATTTTTTTTAGCATCTAATTTCATTGTACGCCATTGTTGTTTTATTTCAGCTAAATCTCTCTCCCGGCTATTTAATTCAATAAATCTGAAAAACATTTTGTCTCAATTACGGTTAGAAGAATACAAGAAACATCAAACAAAAGGCGTGAAACGTGGTATTTTACAAACCTTTTTGTTACTGTGTGCCAAGCAATGGTCTTACTTTTATTGGTATTAGTGTCAGTGTTTTTGTTCTCTAACACGGATATAAACTCCTGTATGCAACTTTTTAATAAATTCTGAAAGATAATATACAAAAGTTCGATTACAAATTGTGACCGAGTGGGAAATCTTTTGTATAGTAAAATTCCTTCTCACCTTTTCTAAGGTATCCCAATTTGCAGATCGTTTTCTTTTCGCCTTGAGCTGGTCAATGTTTCCACTATTACAAGCCATTATTTCACAGTAACAATTTCCTAATACAGTGTAATAAACGCAATTTACTTTGAATTTGACGTTTAGCAATGTATGAAAGGTACGTTCATGAAGTTTTTGACAATTTTTACGATAACCTTTGCCAAAAGAACTTTTTTATTGTAAAAGAAATACAAAATTACTTTAGACACATTTCAAGACAAGAAATGTCAATTATTATGCTAACAATTTATGTTATTTATTACAAAAACAACATTATTACGCTGTTTAAAAATTTGTCAAAATGTCTCTCAGGTTTTCCAACCTAGTATCAAAACGCTCGCTAAAAATGTTGCCAGTGGTTATTGTTTTAACTAATTTATAACTACGCAATGCTTGCACACCTTTTATTAGTAAAGGGAGTGTGTAACTCTTATCTGCAGTTTATACAATGTATAACTATACAGTTGTTAAGCAGTTGTTTTAAATATTTTTATTAGTAAGGCTGTAAGTGTATAAATCTTAAGTGTCAAGCTTGTGCTCTTGACCCTGTACTTAACTACAGGATAACGACAGCATCCGCGAGATGGAGGCGGGTAGCTTTTGGATAGGGAAGGGCGAGCGAGTGCGCGAGCAGTTTCGCGACAAATACGAGTCACCTATGGCTTTCGGCACGCTTTTCAACTGACTCCAAGGTAGCCAGTTGGTATTTAGCAGAACTATCCCATAGATAGCAGTAACACTCCATACACGACCGGATTTGTGCTTGGTACAACTTTTTTTTAGGCAATTGTGACGGTGTGAAGTAGCACCTCACCTTGGAAAGGATGTCAAGCTTCCTGGCTGCATTTTTGGCCATTTATTCTATGTATCTGCCGAAGTTCAAACTGGAGAACAGGATCATTCCAAGTAGCTGACGACGGTCTGCTATTAGTTTGGATTTATCACAAATAGTCCAAGTCAGGTCAAAGGGACTCCGTTTTGTGAAGAATAGACACACTTGCATTTTGGTAGCGTCAAACTTGATAGTTTGGCATTGCAGTTCCCAATCGGAGACAGCCGTGTCAAATCCAACCGACTAATATAGATAGACATAGACTCTCGACAAGAATGGATTTCTTCTCCACTAATCCTTGCATTGAACTAATTGAGAAGTGACTATTTATACAACTGTGCCGTCATGTTATAGAATGATATGCAATGGAGAATGGAATGGGACGGGAAGGGACGGAACCACAGGCCACATACACTTCTTCCGTGGACGGAACGGAACGAAAGGGAACGGAATGTCGTTTATTTGCTTTACATAGGGTGGTTACATTATAAATGTTGATAAGAGTCATCACAACTTTAATTGTTCGAGAGGTAGGAGTAAAATCTAATAGCGTCAGCCACTATCTGTTGCAGGTTGAAACCAAAGAGAATTGTTATTGGTTGAAACTATTTTTTCCCATCCTCTAAAGTTGAAACTGGCAATTTTTAGTGTATCACATCAACTGCTATAATTATTATGTTTGTCAATTTTGAAGTATACCAGTTGTTCAAGGTCGTTCGGTGGAATCTTTTTTTCCATCCTCTAAGGGTGGAATCAGTACTTTCGTAATATTAAAATACTCCAGGATTCAGACGCATAATGCCATAACGCAGAGTGCCAGTATTTCTCGGTTTATGTACTGAAAGATATGCCTCTATAATATAATATTTTGTTTCTGACTTCTAGAAAGAATGACTATGTCCGACTTATTTGCTTAGAGAATGGAAAAAAAATAAAAGAAAGGAGCTGCCCTAACTACAGAATGAACGTGGGTATCAAAACAAAAATTGAACGCTACAAATGGCGGATTTCTATAGCGTTGTACTATAATCTATCGATAAGTCATTGTCGACATGTTTTCGACATGAAATAGTTTTTTTTTTGTTTCTTTCGTTTACTGTAATTAGTTTACTGTGATTAAAACGTATGAAAAAATCTGCAACGAGTGGATACTTTTGTTTTCAGGAACTGAGAATGCCTAGTAAATGAGTCTTGTTGAATCTAAATTAAATATAACATTATTTACCAATAAACCTAATGATGGAATTGCATTATCATGTAATCTAGTTACATTTAAAGTTCTGGTAAAATTTGACTCTTCAAAATGAAATTAATAATTATATAATAATATTCATATTCGGCAAACCTATGATTTCCAACCCTTCTTTTGTCATTTGTTGGTAAACTTGAAATAATAAAAATAATAATAATAAAAACCTCGTAGTGAATTGTTTTCATAACAGAATATGGATAATAAGTACGTTTACAAGAACAACACTATCACAAAAGAATCCTAAACAACAATCATTAAAATATACAAACAAGTAAGTAATCAGAAGTAATCAAAGCAAAATTTGGCAAGATTTATGAATAAACTACTTAAATAAGTCTAATTACATGAGATCTTTGGGCTACTGTGTGATTTATAGACAGAAAAATAACCATGTCTGTGCAATGTTATTCGGTTGATTTTCGCTTTGGCTAATGTCACGTCCCTTAATGCTGTAGCGACGCATTTTTATTAATACCTAATTGTTCTCACTTTCAAAATTTTCGTCCATTTTATAAAATAAAATTTCCGAATGTTTTTACGCAAAACACTTGAAAAAACATTTGTTTTGATATTTGATGTACTTCCCTTTGACAACCGTATCATGTACCTACCTCATGTAATGCGAAATGAAAACGGTAGGCATTTAAGATGACGTTAAGTATTTTCGATTCCCGTATTTGGCACAGACCAATGTAATGCTATCTCTTTTAGCTTACGACGACACGCAGTAGTTAAACAAAGACAATAACATGTTTATGTTTTCATTCCAAAGTTCCATAGTCTAAGCTTTGTAAGGCGAATCTGTCACTCCCAACATATCTAAGTTATTCGTATCCATAATATTTAAAAGCTTATTTCTCCCAGTTTTCAGGGAGCCAGTATTAAGATTAGTAACACTAAAATTCCTAAACTTTTTTTTCTTGGCTTTTCGTGGTTAGCGTTTCAGGCACTAACAAATTTTGTGATTGTGCCTTGTTTAATATTTTATTTATTAAAAGAAATTAAATGTTTGGTTGTATATAAATAAGTTAGACACCCAATAAAATTATAACAGTAATTTAAATTACACAAACATAGGAATGCTAATTATGTTTTTAAATTGATTTGTATTGGAGTCGAGATAAGATAAATTTTTAAATAGTGTATTCAAAATAATTATTTAAAAAAACTTTATTTAATGTAATAATAATTATTAAAATATTATACATATATATACTATATATACATAAAGTTACAAGTTTAGACTCACTGATAGAAATAGAGCGCATACTTCCCAATATTGTGGAAAAAAGATATTTAGATCGTTGTACGCAGTGTACGTTCCAAAGAATCAAATATGAGAGGACCTAAATGTGGAAAATATAAAAGAGTGATCAACGGCCTGCAAAAACTATAATAATATATGTTACATTTTTAACAATTGTGAGATCTTGTACTTTTAATAGAGCCTCTGTATACTACCTACGTACGGTGGCGTGCGGACGCTTCGGGTTTCACCCTCAGCTGGACCTCGGCCTATGGCCTCGGCATTTATGATTTTGTTTAAAAAAATTAAAATAGCTCTTTAATGGCGGTCATTTGAAAAATGGCAAAAAGTTAATTTTGACCGCAAATTATTATTAAACACACAGAGAATCCCACATGTCGATTTTTCAGTCGAATTAGAGCAAATTTTTATCAACCGCCAAAAAACGCTAGTATGGCTACACTTTTCTTTTTTTTATTGAAAAGTGGTGAAAAACTAATGTTGATTACAAATTATTATCAAGCACTCCTAGAGCAGTTTTTTTTCTACAGCTTCAGTTTTTTTAAAGCTGACTCCGTGGCCGAACGGTTACCACGCCGGACTGCCACGCAGAGGTCCCAGGTTCGATTCCCGCGTCGGGAGAAATATTTGTCCATACAAATACTACATTTATTTCTCTCGTGAGTTTGGGTGTAATTTGTGGTTTTCTATTTGTGTGTCCATGGCACCCGCGACACAGGGTTTTCCCTAGTGCGGGGCTATGTTGAGTGTGTGCGTTATTATTATTAATTAATATTAATATTATTAATTTTTAAGCGAACGCTTGTATGGCGGCCATGTTTGAAAATGGCGAAAAATCAATTTCGATTACTTTTAATCCGGCACTCTTAGAGACCTCCGCATGCTCCAATTATCATCCGAATCAAAGCAAGTTTGTCTTGACAGTCATTTCTAACGAAAACAATGTTTATATGGCAGCATATAAAAAAATCGTGAAAAGAAACTTTTGGCCCCACGACTCCTAAAGACGGCATACTGGGTATGCCATTTCACCCGGATAGAAGCAAGTTTTTCTTCGGCTGTCATCTTGAATTCGCCATCTTGATTTTTTTTCACCCAGGCAGTTGACCAGTGTTATCCTCTATGACATTCCTTTGAGCATTTCCTATCCTTAATAACCTATCTTTAATAATCTCCGTGATAGAAGACTTTGAAATTTGTCTGGCGGCCATCTTGTTTATTTCAATTTCGATAATTTTTTATTTCCAACGGAAATTGTCCAGGGTATACCTCATAAAAATGCACAAATATTCCCTCCATGTATTATAGTTTTTGCAGGCCACTGATCACTCTTTTATATTTTCCACATTCAGGGCATCTCATATTTGATTCCTTACTTGAAGCTATCCGCGATCAACGGTATAAATATATTTTTTCTACAATGTCGGGAAGTATGCGTTCTATTTCTATCAGAGAGCCTAAACTTGTAGCTATAAATAAATAATAACAGTATGATTTTTCTACTACAGCTCGGGAGCTGCATGAATTTCTAAATTATAGCCACGAGATGTGTTTTCCAGAGTACGAAGCCATCCATCGATTTCCACTGACTCCGTTGTTAGCCTTGCATTTTCATTGTCAAGCATTTTATTTTGTTATCCGTTAACTCAAGTTTCTTTTTCAAAACATTAAAACTAAACCAAAAAGTG